AGATATTGTGCTAGCATTCTCGCGCTACTATTGAGCAATGACAGACCGAACTTCCCGACCTCAAATGTTGTGGTCGGGACTAAGTTCGGAATGGCACCCAGGCTATTGGGGCCCTGTCACACCTTGATGATTTAGCCAGCGTATGCCTTATGTCCCAGAATCTCCTTAAACGCAGGCATATGTGAACTTTCTATGAATTTTTTAATTTTGGGCGTATACATAGCGCATTCAAAAAGATTCCTGAAATTATGTCCAATGACAGCCTAAGTTATCAGAATCAGAAATACTTTAATAATTCCAGAGAGAAATTACTTTTGTTACACGCTCAAGTAACAGTTGTATATAATATATACACGCATCTTACTATACAACATAATAAAGATAAAACAAAAATAAGAATATAAAGTGATAAAATATATACACATATAGCTCTTCTGTATATATATCTGTATGTATATATATGCATATGTGAAAACTAAAACCAAATAAAGTGAAAATCCAAGTAAAGTGATAGGTGGCGTGCAAAAATAGTGCATATGCATAACGCACGGCAGCGTAATGCCCATGAAATGATTCTTGTGCATCATTTCATGGGCATTACAAGGCATCAGTTAGAGCTTCTTTTGGATGAAAAACCCCATCTTTCATTAGTAGTTCTTACTGCCTCGAGTCAACAAGCTAACGGGTGCTAGCATTCTTCTTCGTCCCTAATCTAGGGGCTATATTTAGAGCTCCCCCTACAGGTTTGGTGGGAGACAGTTGAGTAGATATCAGGGGCTTATACCCCTGTGCGGCTTATATGTGTACGTTTCCAGTTTTTTCAAAGAACCTACTGGTCACGGCTTATAGTGAGGTGCACTTTATTGTCCAGAAAATACAGTAAATTTATTTTAAACTGTTCTCATGTCTCCCTCTTATCTCCTTGGTTGTGTCTTTCAGAGCACAGCGGTGGGAACATCAATATTCATGGTGAACGCCACAGATCCAGACCAAGGCACAGGGGGCAGCATTCTCTTCTCGTTCCAGCCACCTTCTCCCTTCTTTGCTATAGACGGAGCCAGAGGTACCGTCACCGTCACCAGACCGCTGGACTACGAAAGAACATCTGCCTACCAGCTCACAGTGAACGCTACGGTCAGCAGGCTTAGAATATTGGGGCTTTCTTCTGCAGCCAGACATATCTTTGACTATCGGCTCCTGCTAACAATGTCTTTGTGTTTTGATAGGACCAAGACAAATTAAGACCTCTGTCCCGGCTTGCAAACTTGGCTATTACCATCACTGACGTCCAGGACATGGACCCTGTTTTCACCAATCTACCCTACAGTACCAACATAGAGGAGGGCGTTCCTCTGGTTAGTACAATTATCCAACTAAGCAATGCCTCAATTTGTAAAAAAAAAACCTCAAACAACATTATAGCATTTAAACACTCATATCATCTTCATTTAAAGAAAACTGTCCCTACTGTACATGACACAAAGTACTCTTTAAAAGATTAAAATCACAAGAAAAAAACAAAACATAAAAGAAAAGCAAAAGCTAGTTTACAGACAGGTAAAATTAGACTGACTTTGATGGAAAATGCCACCAGTTTTCCAGTTGTAAATGTGGCTTCTGATTTAGAATAACTGGTTATTGTCCTCAGAGCTTCAAAGTCTGTTTATTTGGCTTAATAACCAGCTGAACACATGAGGTTGTGGCTTAAAATGCCATCAGAACCACACAATCTGAAAAGTCAATCATCAGGTTGTTTTGGTGTTTTCAAATGACCAAAATATACCTAGATGCATTCAGACCGAAAGCGATGTCCGCAGAGAGGGTGGTGGATTTAAGAGAGAAACAAGCAGGGGTGAATCCAACAAGGTGATGGTAGTCACTGTGCCGCTCTGTCTTTGTGCTGCTCGATAGAACTGAGGTGTTGTCAAACAGTGGCATTGTATTGAGAGAGCGGAGCGGTGACTACTGAAGTTAAAAAATCTTTCCTTGGAAATCATATCGTAGAAACCAGTAAGGGACTTTTTGGTTGTGACGTAAGTTAAAGAAGTGCAGCCATGACAAAGCTTTCTTTAGTTAAAATGGAATAAAAAGGGAATAATGTTGATAAAGTATGAAATAGGGAATTCTCTGAAATGGTTTTTAGGTGGCTTTTAAAAAGCCATTTTAATTTAGCCGTAGAAGGAATGTTCGTCATCCTCCCTTACCTCCAACACAGACCACGGTCCGTTGTTGCCCACTGCCCAGCATCAGTGCTTTCTGTGCTGGTTGCTCTACAAGAAAGTAATGCTGAATCCGACTATCATCCAGAAACAGCTCTGGGTGAACCAAAGTGATTTATTTTTTTTTATTGCGAAGTACTCACAGCTCGACCTTGACAGGAAATGCTATGGGGTTGTCATGGATAATGGCAGGTCCAAATTCTGGGATGCTGATAAACTGCAGAATATTGTGAAAAAATGATTATATCCAGTAAAGGTAAACATCGATGCCATATTCAATGCCAGTACAGGAATGATATATTATGTTATGTAATAACTTTATAACACTGTCTGCTGGGATGGTGATGTCATCAGCCAAAATAAAAAAAAAATGACTAGTGACAGTTTTACCAGCACAACTGAAGTAGCACTGAAAAGGTAGATAATTCTGATTTAATTTAGAGCTTAATGGGGGGATTGTTGATATCTTTGAAACAAAAGTAGCACACATGACCATCCTTTTTTTTTTTTTTTTCAAGGTTTACAAATGTTTATTTTATTCATAAACCCTCATTAAGGTAGCACTAACGATTCAATTTATGTGCTCAGTTTCCTCCAATTTGATGACGCCATCCAGGGTATAAACACAGTTCATAGGAAATGCAGAACAGTTAACTCCCCTTGGGGTTCGGGAAATTGCCGCGGATACCATGCTTGGCCTGAGTGCACCCTCATGATCCTGTCCTTAAAATACCACAAACAGGAATCCTGACAAAGGCCAGCCTTGATTGTCCAACCTCCAAAATAGGTTTGATTTCAAGAGAAACTTTGTCCAGCAAATCTGGACACAGCTCTTACAGTGGTATTACCACTCTCTTACAGTAATTTGGTTGTATCCTTTAACTGACTGTGGTAATTACTAAGTATTGTTGAAGCCCCTCCTGAAATGCCCCAGGGGTCATGGTTGTAAACATGCTGCTCTTTGTAGATCAGGGATGTGTTTTAAACATAAAAAATACAGTCAAATCAAAGGGCTTAATTATAATCCATCGAATATTTCTCCTTCTTACCTGAAGAAGCCCCCTCATCCATCCCAATCTCACCCTGAGGTCTCTGCATACAGCACTGCAGGTGTGTCAGGTTGTAATTACTGTAGGAAATTTATTGTCCTGCCTCTGGGATGTTAGGCCTCCAGCAAAGGTCAGAGGAGTCTGTGAATCGCATGAATTGCTAAGCAGTGGGGTCTCGCTATGACCTTACCTTAGTCATTATTGCAATTGGGTTTGTAATGGCCATCTAATATACTGTCTGTTTCCCTGAGCACCATTATACTCAGTCTCTCTGCTCAGCCCCTTAACTTAGCACCCAGGTGGCTAATATTCCAGCTATTGATGTTTCCACTTGCTTGGAGGGAATTATACACATGGGCATGATACAGTCTGTCCTTATTTCTGTTTCTACCTCTCTATCACTTTATTACCTTTATGTCTCTCCCTCAGTTTCTCACTCCAGCCAGCTCCCAGGCTAACGCCACCATTTGCTTATCCCTGGTCCACAGCCTGTACGGGACATACTAGAAATGTCAAGTGCTACATTTGCATGCATATTAGGAGGGTGTGACAGTGCAGATGCCTAGTGTCTTTCTGACCATCTGATTCATCAACTGTCACCAGGAAGGTCACAACAGGGAGAAGAAACTAGAGGAGATGGGGTGGTATAAGAACCAAGAGCCAAGAGGCTGAATTAAAGAGAGTGTGTTGACTTGATACAGAAGTTTATTAGTCTTTTTATTTTGGGATTTAAAGTAAATCTAGCACATCAACACAATAGGCCCTTTTTGAACAGCCGGTTGATACAAGAGGCTGTGTTTCAGGGGCTTAAATGCCCCTGCTAGGGTCTTCCAAGTGATGGTAATTGGCATGTACTCATATAGCGCCTTTATTCAAGTCAGGAGACTTGACCAAAGCGCTTTACACTACATTCATTCTCACACACTGATGGTGGCAAGCTACATTGTAGCCACAGCTGCCCTGGGGCTCACTGACAGAAGCGTGGCTGCCGTACACTGGCGCCACCAGGCCCTCTGACCACCATCAGTAGACAATGCAGGTGAAGTGTCTTGCCCAAGGACACAACGACACTGAAAGTCTGAGTCGGGGCTTGACCCGTCAATCCTTCGATTTCAGGGCGAACTCCTACATCCGACGCCACTGTCAGCCTTGTTATTTCATGTTGTCATATTCCCTTGCTTTTTCACTTTTGACAGAGACTACATGACTAAGATAAGGTACCATCAGTGTTGTGTATATTCTTGTTGATCTTTTTAAAGCTTGATTGCAATACCTCTGGAATCTGGGTTCCAAGTCAGCGTTTTTTTTTATTGATGTTTCTGAACAAATTGTATCCTGGGAGAGCTGTACAATGCAGGTGAAGTGTCTTGCCCAAGGACACGACGACACTGAAAGTCGGAGTCGGGGCTTGAACCGTCAATCCTTCGATTTCAGGGCAAACTCCTACATCCGTCGCCACTGATGAGTCAGATAATGAGCGGTTCAAGAAGCCATTATAGCGACAACATAAACGAGGAATGCGAAGTTGGCTTCTTTCAAGGTGTTAAGCAATAACTTTATATGTAATGTCCTACCTAGGCGACTGGCAGAAAATTTCTACAGTAGCGGGAAATCAAAATGGCCCTTCCCAGTCAAACGCCAGCCGAATGGCAGCCCACTTCCCTGCAACTCCCAGCAGAATCCCCTCCAACTTCCAACCACTGGAGTGAACCCCTCCTTCTCCTGGCGATGTATATATATTTTTTTACTCTGACGTCAACCTTACACTGAATTACAGGGTCTGACCAGGAGATGACGCTTCTCTTTAGATCTTAAAGGGATAGTTCGGTATTTTTGACATGAATCTGTATGGCATCCCCATCACCAGTGTCATGCAATCACACTGACTTACCCCTGGCAGCATCCTGTGAGCAGAGTTCTCGTCCAGCTTTGGTCAAGCCGAAAGTAGTCCGGCAGGTTTGCTAGACCCAGCGAAATAAAACGTTTCTCTTCCCAAAACATTATGTGTTCAAAAGAGTGATATTTTTGCATCCCAAAAACATTGTAGTGGAAAAAGTCACACGTCGTTATCACTTGGTCCTATTTTCTCTCTGTTCGTATCAGTGCGCGCCGTCATTCTGACAGCGAGCTCAACTTTGAGGAGGGCAGGGAAGTCGCTGTTGTTTGTGATGCAGACAGCAGCTGCTGCAACTCCGACATCCTCATCAATGGAAAGGTTCTGTATCTCGGGCATTACTAAATCCCACTCGTGGCAACAGTAGCATCCACCTCTGTCTGCATTAATTCGCACTTGAAACAAGTGCACCATGATTTGTCGGCCACCCTGGATATCGCAGCTCCAGCTGTGGCTCCTGCGGCTCCGGCTTCAGCTTCCATCACTTCTCTGTCCACCCTCTCTCTTTCTGCCCGATCTAACTCCATTTGTCGAAGTTCATCGTCAGTGTACTCGGGTTCATAAAGATATCCCTTTGGCTCTAAGTGGAAGTCGATGTTTTCCTCGTCGCTCTCGTAGTCAGACATCTTCCCCAGTAGTAAACAATCGCGAATCAAACAGGTAGGCCCTTAACCTGACAACAGCCAGATGCATGCCTCGCTCCGCCTAGCTCCTAGCTAGGCGGAGCGAGGCATGCATCTGGCTGTTGTCAGGTTAGTAGGCCCTAGCTGTCAGGTCATGGTGTCGCGCGCACTGATACGAACAGAGAGAAAATAGGACCAAGTGATAACGACGTGTGACTTTTTCCACTACAATGTTTTTGGGATGCAAAAATATCACTCTTTTGAACACATAATGTTTTGGGAAGAGAAACGTTTTATTTCGCTGGGTCTAGCATACCTGCCGGACTACTTTCGGCTTGACCAAAACTGGATGAGAACTCTGCTCACAGGACGCTGCCAGGGGTAAGTCAGTGTGATTGCATGACACTGGTGATGGGGATGCCATACAGATTCATGTCAAAAATCCCGAACTATCCCTTTAATGTCCACAAATTATGACAGAAAGCAAAGCTTAATGTTATAAAAACTTTAGACTCCACTCATCCCCAGTGTTAATCTACATCCTGCAGCTCTGCTTAGCTTTTATTTGAACGAATCTAACAAATGTAGTATATTGGACTGAGAATGTTGCAGGCCCTGGAGAAAAAGTGGTTATGAAGTATCAAGAATAAGGTTTTAGAAACTTTGATTTACACAAACGGTTAAATTTATTTTTAAATACATGTTTATTTTTATTATTTTTAGATGATGAATAATTCTACCACTGTTTCTTGTGGGGTTTTTTTCAATATGGTACTTTTCAATGTGAAACAATAGCATATAAAAATAATTATTTATTTACACTTCTTTACAGGGATGTAAAGAAGTCAACTGGTGACATTTACACATAACGCCATTAAGAATTCTGACATAGGTCATCTCACTGAGTTATAGTTTCTATTTATTTCTTTTTTCTTTGAGCATGTTTCGCCTTTTAAATGCTATCTTTCCTTTTCTCTTAGGGCCAATCAACCTGTCATCCAGGAAAAAAAAAAACTTTGACAAAGTGTTGAAAAATGTTATTTATTTATCTATGTTGTTTTTTTGTATTTTTTTTTTTTTATTTTCAAATGAAATCACAGGTCTGTGTTTTTAACAGTTATGGCTGTGAATCTATGCTCTAACTGACATTAAGCTCTTTCCAGGACAAACACACAATTTGGCTGTCAAACCAATGAGGAGGAAAGAGAAGGAAAAAAGGGAGGTGGGGGAGGGATGCACTGTATAGCAAAATTGAAGGATGGCTTGTGTATGGGTGCGTGTGGATGTGTGTCTGCACCCTAAGGGGGAGGGATTGTATCTGTGATGGCTGATTGAACATATTCCACTTGTGTCAACAGCTCAAAAATATTGCTCACATTACTTTAGCATCACTTCTTTTTATTTTTCTCCACATCGTTCCCGTATGTGTGCGTTTTTGCCCTCTCAGCTATGGAATGAGTCTCTTCTTAAAAAGGCTTGTAATTGATTCTGCTGTAATTGGTCAATGACAGGAGATGCTTTGCTAGAAATCGAGCATAAACATGTCTTAGACACAATTTGCAGGATCAATGGGAGGCAGCCCCCTAAGGTAGGAGCCAGAGGCATGAAAAAAAAGGAAGAAAGGATGCATGGAAGTAGGAAGCTTCTCATCCCTGCAGCATGGGGGTTTTAAAGCAGCACCACCGTGTCTGATTGAAGCAGGGAAGCTGAAATGTGCTGCAGATCAAAGGCTTCTCAAATGGCTTTCGTTCTTTTTCTTTTGTTTCTTATTCAGTTTTTTTTCTTTTTTTAGCTGTCATACTGTGATTTGGAAAGGGAGCGGACTGACTGGCACACCAGGAGGGCTTCCGAACAATAAAAGAAAAACACAAACACCGATAAAAATCTGATATCAAACATAAAGAAAGAAAAATCGTTTGACTAATGTTCTCTCTGTATTTTTAATACTTGACTTCTTATAAATATTTGTAGTTCTTTGAAATTTTAGGTTGCATAATAAATTAATAGCACAATAAAAATAAAAAAGTTGTATTTTTATATTGATAAAAATAAAAGCACGAAAGAACAATTATTTTTCGGTGGAAAACATTGAAATCTAAACAACTCATTTTTTCTTAAAATAATTGCATTTGTTCTTGGATTGAGAATGTAGAAGAGACATCTTGCCAGTGGAACAAGAACATTTACACTCAAAATAAGAAAAAAACAATTGCATTGTCTTATTTCAAGTGCATATTATCTAATGATCCTGTTTTATGAGTAAAAATACTCATTCCATTGGCAATATCATTTACCTACTCAAATTAAGGGTAAATACACTTCATTTAAGACATTTTTACTGATTTCTAAATCGTTTTTCCAGTGTTTAACCTAATTTTTTATACCAAAAAAAAATCATAATTAATATTTAGCTAAATAAACAACATGAACAATGTGATTTTCGTCTTATCAAACTTATGTAAATTCCAGTAATACAGCAGTTATTGGAATTTAACACATGAGAAGTTTGCTATTGAAAGAGGTTTTCTCCAAATTGATTTTACACACACATATATATAATATATATACATATATATATATATATATTAAGTTATTTTAACTAACAAGCTCTTCTGCTTGGCTTTTGAGACTCACCTTAGAATTACATAAAATAACAGATATGAAGAAAAAAAATGTTCAATGATTTACAGTTTACTGCTGGCATTTTTGCTTAAAAATCAGTGTTTATTTGTAAGTATTTTGAAAGATGTTTAACTATGGGAAGATTTTCCTACAGTTTGGGAATTTGGGGAGTTACTTTGACAAAAAAGGTGGACAGAAGACGCCAAAAAATATGAAACATACCAAATCCAATCCAAATTCAATTACTCTAACCAGGAAAGATAAACACATTCACTGGAAAAAATCAAAATCTAGATAAGTCATTTTTCCTTAAAATAAGTGCATTTGTTCTTAAATTGAGGAGATTAAAGAGACATTTTGCCAATGGAACAAGACAATTTAGATTTAAAATAAGAAAACACAATTGCATTGTCTTATTTCAAGTGAATACTATCTAATTATCTTATTTTAAGACTAAAAATACTCATTCCATTGACAAATTATCAAATTTACCTATTCAAATCAAGGGTAAATACACTTTAAGAACTTTTTACTTATTTCCAAATATTTTTTCCAGTGTTCATAAATATAAAGATTACCGTTCCTCATGTGGAACAGAAAAAAAAATCTAATATCAACAGTCACTGCAAATAATGCAGAAATGGAAAGAACCAGGCCTGTTTCTCCAATTCATCAGTTTGTAATATCTGAATAAATTAGAAACTAATGGAATCAAAGCTAGGATTACTTAATGCAACCTTTAATTGGTGTTGTCTCTTTTTTTGCAGGGCTATGAAGTGCGGACGATCGTAGCCATTGACCAGGACCGTGGCCAACCCAGAGGAATTGGCTACACCATCGTGTCAGGTCAGAGCCTCAAACTGATGTGACATCACTAGCAATGGGAGGGGAATCAATCACATCTTATCATTGTTCCAGGGTAGTAATAGTAAAGTCAACTTGTCATTCAGATGTTCCACATATTCTATTTATGAAGTGATGCTGGTTTTATTTCAAAAGTGCAGAGGGTTCATTTAATATTCCTAACTTGTGTTGGTTTTGCTAATCTGATAGTTTGACTCTAAACAGAGATAAAGGCACAGCTTGCATGGCGACGATAAGGATGAAACTTGGTTCTTTTACCTCTTCCAAGAATTACCTTTATGCCTGCCAGATATATTGTTTGTCTTTTTAAAAATGCTCTTTGAAAGAAAATCTACATTTTGATGGAGGAAATGTTTTAGGATTTGGCTTTATACCTGATCTCATCTTTTTATGGTGTCAGGAAAAATATTTTGCAGAAATCTGTTGTCTTTCTAGAAGACAAATATTTACGCTTGCCAGATGATGAACCTAGAAGCCATCAAGTTAGCAGTGTGTTTTTGGTAATGATAAATCTATACTATGTATAGATTTGATGGGAATTAACTGAAATTAT